AACTTAATTAAAAGTATAATTAATAAATAAATATTAAAATAAATAAAATAAGGAAATCAAAATAAAATATATTATTTGGGGCGGGGCGGGGGCGGGTGCGGGCGGGTCTTAGTGTCTACCCGCACCCGCACCCGCACCCGTAGTTAAGAACCGGGTTTCACCCGCACCCGCACCCGCACCCAATTAAATCGGATTTCCCCCGTTAATTTCGGGGCGGACCCGGGCGGGTGTGGGCGGGTCCGGGTTTGTTTGCCATCCCTAGCAACTGAGAAATCTTTTTTCAATTAACTGACCTACACTTATCAAATTTCTCTTCATGCCAGGAATGTACCAAACATTATTAATCGCAACAATTTTTCCATTCTTCACGCTGACTTTGACATTTCCCATTCCTTCAGCATTAAGGTACTTATCATCAACACATATGATCTTTGTCCTCTTTTTAGAGTCAAAATAAATCAATGAGCCCCTTGGGGATGCATAAATCTTCAGGTCGTGAGATGCTCATAGCGACTTGGAGGTTGGCTTCCTTGGAGGAAGACACTTCTTCCTCGACCTTCTGGGATTCCTGAGCGTCTGGTCGAGGAGCTTCCTATTTTTGGTGAACTACTTTAGATGCTCGTCCATGATAAGTATTTTGATGGCATCCTTTAGGTGGAAGCAGTCTTCAGTCATATGGCCTGGCTCTTGTGGAACCGACAATATTTGTATTTATCAGTTTTGGGTTTAGATGGTATCTGCTTAGGGAATCAGACTCCTGCCTGCCGAAATTCTGAGTTGGCGCACTCAATGAGGATCTTTTACCTTGAAATTGTCACAAGAGTGTAATCGTGGAACCGACCTGAGAGTCCCTTGTTATCCTGGGGCTCACAAGGACGGTCTTCTCGTCTTTTATCTCCTCGATGGAGTGTAGAGGGCTCGTCGAACCTGGATGGTCAGGTGTTTTCCATGTGCCTGGAATCACGGGCAGAGTCGACAACCTCCATTTCCTCGTACTGAATGTACACTTGCGCATTGAGGAGGAAGGCGTCCAACGTTGTTAGGGGCCGGATTCCTACATCTTTAGCAAATTCTGTGTGGGGACGGAGTCCGCGTTCGAGCATAAACTTTTTCATGTCATAGGTGGTAGAAACTTGGACGGCCTCCTTGTTGTATCATTCAATGTAGGCTCGCAGAGGTTCATCCCTCCCTTGAATGATGGTCTCAAAGGAGGCTTCGGTCTTCAGATGACGATGAGAGGCCGTGAAGTGTCTAGGGAAGAGTCTCCCCAGTTTTCTCCATGAGGTGATGGAGTCGTCAAGAAGCCCTTTGTACCAGGTCATTACCCACTTCCTAAGCGTGGTCGGGAATAACCTGCACTTGATAGCGCCCTGGACGCCACAATATTCGAGCAGCGCATCGATATTTTCGATGTGCTCGTCGAGGTCAGTTGTTCCATCGTATGTGCCTAGATAGAAGGGGTTTCTCTAGTCCTTTTGGGAGGCGCATGGCCATTATCTCTTGGGACAACAGGTCGCGAGGCTCATTGTCGTTGTTGCTGCTGGTCCAAGATGGGGAGTGAACGTCCCATCTGTAGGTAGGGCGACGGTCTCATCGGAGAGACAGGGTTCGTGCTCGGCCCTTGGTTCTGGGAAGAGGCGAATGTTAGAATTCTGCTTGGTGGCCTTTTTCTGGTCCTCTTGAGTTGTGAGGAATGCTGGTTTTGAGGAGAATCTGGTCGCGTTTGCAGATGGTCAGGGTCTCTGGTTTTGGAGGTGTCTGGCAGTTCCTCTCGCGCCAGGGAGGGGGACTCCGTCGTTGCTGAAGTTCTTTCCTCGGTGGAAGGGATTTTGGACAACTGGACACTTCTGACGCTCCAATCCTTGCATTCTGGTTGAGGATTAGGAGGTTGGTTTTATTGAGAACCTCGAGGAGGACCGCCATGGCCGGGTCAGCACTGGGCAGAACTAGAACTGGAAGATGTTGCGGGACAAGTGAGGCTTCGCCGTGATCTACGCGAGCAGGGGATGGGGAAGTTGTGGTTCTGTCCCTTTGTTGGAGGACATCACCGACATGAGAGGTGGTGGCCCCATCAGCATCAGTCTTGCTGACAGGGAGAAAAGCAAAGTCACGAGCATCAAGATTCCTGTCACAGGTGGCCATGATAAAAAATTTGAAGAATTGTTTTGGTCTTGTGTTCTACAAAGAGAGAAAAGACGGGGATAACAAGTTTTCCCACAGACAGTGCCATTGATCTTACCGGTTGATTACAACCTGAGGTGGGCCAAAGACAAGCGTCTGTGATGTTGGATGTGAAAGAGGGGGAGATGATGTACCTGCAAGACACTCTGATGCTAAAGTAAGAAAACGATCAAAAGAGAGATAACAAGTACATAATATGAGTGTTTCAGGGTGAATATTGGATACATGACTCTCTCAAGTGAGAGGGTTTTTATAGTGCCCCCAACGCTTGGCCATTGTTCCCTATTTTTGGGGCGAGATAACCATTTCCCAAAGAATAGGTAACTGCTAGAACTAGCCGTTGGGACAGGCAGACATGCCCATAACTAGCTGTTGGCACGGGCACAAGCGTTTGGCTGTTTCTAGATGGTGGAACCGTGCATGACAGGCAGAGACTGACGGAGAAGAGTGTTGTGACCAAGGGTAAATTGGCCAGAATCCCTCATTGGAGGAGCAGAAAGGTAAGTTCTTCCCCCAAAGTGGTTGGACTTAGGCAAATGCGACCGTTCTAGAAGTAGAAGTGGATTGGGTCATGCCTAGTCATTAGGCTAGTCCGGAACACAACCTATGACATTGGTTTCTTAGTTAGATAAAAGTTCCTTGTCCCTCAAATGCCTTTGAAGCTCTTAACACATGTGACAAAAAATAGAGCCAACAATGTAAAGTTATCATTCAAACATCCATCATCTCAATTTTTAATACCATTTGACTGGCTCGAAATAAAAAGAGATCTAATCATTCATCTATGCATTGGAAGCCCCTTTAGCATAATCCAGTCAGAAGTGGCTCTCATTAGAAACCTCACAAAGAAAGTGACCAACTCTTCGATTTATGATTTCACTATAACCAAAAGCTTCAAGGTTGACCTACACCCCATAAAGTTACAAAAATCGTGGAGGTCATTTGTCTCCATCTAGTTTGGAGTTGGACAAAATGAAACACAAATGGACCCTTTTCCAACTCCATGGCTTCTTGTTGAGATGTTTTTAGAAATGATAAATGAGACTTCCTCCTTGGTTTCTCAGACACGGTGGAAGGGAATTCCCCTCTTCATGCTAAGCTATTCGGGGTCATTCGGGCTATAAATATTACTTCTTATTTTGGTTAGACGAAATTATAGTTGAAAACAGATTCAACTATGGTGATTCTTACGACTTAAGTTTCAAATATTGTGCCTTAAAACATCAAAATTAGGCGCTCAACACAATGGTCAAAGTTAGGTCCATGGCTTTCTTCATCACCACATCTTTAGGGGAGACAACCAATGCGTGGACAAGCTTACCATAATGACTTCTTCAAGCCCTCTCATTATGTTTGAAATACCACTCATAATTTCCTTATTTCTTCTTAGTACCATAACAAACTAGGCATACCTAATTATAAATTTGTTGGTGCTAGAGAGGGTTTTGGTTGCTCCCTTTCCCTCTATTTTTTTCTCTTTTGTTATATATGAGGACTTTAAACCAACAAATATTTTAATGTATGAATGAGTAGTAGAAAAATATTCATATATAGATTTGATTAAGAATTCTCCGCCTATAAAATCAACGACTCAATGTTTTATTGAAGGAACCTTCAAAACCAATATAAATAAAATTGTTAAAATATTAAAAAAGAAACACTTTCCAACCATTAAGATACTTTTATACTATTTATATTTTACATATTTTGTTTCATAACTCCAAAGACATTGATCTTTTATAAAACTTCTAAAAAATTATTCATGGTGTGTCTACTAAAATAATAAATATAATTTTAAGAAGTTTGTTGTTCGATTATCTTTCATTTATATGTAATATTTATACTAAAATTTTAAAACTAATCTCTTTTCACAAATATAAAATAACAAAATAACATATACTTAATTAATGTTATAACAAAATAACACATAAGATTCAACACCTGTATTTTCCCCAGAATACTCATATAAATCAATAAAATTCTATTTTTATAAAAATCCATTAAACTCTTACCATTATTACTTCTACAATTAGTCTACTAACATGACAGCTAAGCATGATTAGGCAAATTTATCATAAAAAAACAACTCACACGTGACAACAGCATAGATACAGTGTCTAGAGTTTTAAGGAACAACAGTACATATCCATACAAACACACACAGTAGTTTTTTTTCAGTTGAGTTGATAGATTCATACATAGTACTGTAATAATTTCACAGCTCAACTCACACACACAATCATCAAATCAAAAAGGAAAAAAAAAATTATTTACCGATTAAGAGTCACATTCATAACAAAGCTATAAGAAAAATCCTAAACAACAAGAGAACAACCTTATTACTACCTTACATTACAGAATTGAATTTACGAAATTGATGTTTTTTGTTTGTTTATAAACACATATTCATGCGTTGTAAGGTTGTATCTATTACCTACCACTGATAACTCCATCGTCTCTTCTTCTTCTACCTTTGCATCTTCATCATCACAGTTTTTCTTCATCTTTAGATAGATAGCTCCATCTTATCTTAGATTCATTCATTCATATCATAACCACTCACATTTTCCATACTTGGTATACATATTGCTGTTTTTTTCTGACAACTTCCTAGATTTGTGTTATCTAAAAGATCTATAGCCGTTTTTGTTTCTTACTATGTTTGTGTCTCTTCACTTATGAAACTGCTGTTTCTGAGATCTGGAATTCAAGGTTTTTCACTTGAGGTTAGTTTTTTTGTTGTTAATTATTGTATTTTATGAATTAATTATTAATTTTGTTGTATATTTTGTAGGTTTGTTTGATATTATCTGTGAGAAATGGGTTCTTTAAATGCTGAATTATCAAAGAAAACTGTTTTTGGTGTAAAGGTTTGGGAAGTGATTGCAATTGTTGTTGCTTTGTCAATTATAGTGATTCTGTCTGTGGTTTCAATTTGTCTTACTTCAAGAAAGAAATCTAGGAGAGCTAGAAACAAGATTCCTGTTACTGAGATACCGAATGTGTCGAAGGAAATTAAGGAAGTTAGGGTTGAGCAAGTATCGACGAATGGATTTGCGCCGCGTGATGGGATACTTTTAACCATTCATGATAAATCTAGTGATAAAGAGTCTGATAAAGTTATGGTTCATTTAGATTTAGGGAAGAAGATGAAGAATGGCGATAGTAGTAGTCATTCGGAATCGTTTCATCAGTACATGGAGAAAGATGGTGGTGGGTCGCATTCGCAATCGGGTGAAGAAGGTAGCTCCGAAACGGTTACGGTCTATAAGCAGCCTTCTTCTTCGCATCCTATAACAGCTCCTTCACCTCTATCTGGTCTTCCAGAATTCTCGCACTTAGGTTGGGGTCATTGGTTTACTTTGAGGGATCTTGAACTTGCTACGAGCCGTTTCGCGAAAGAAAATGTTCTCGGTGAAGGGGGTTATGGAGTGGTATATAAGGGACAGTTGATCAATGGGAGTCCAGTTGCGGTGAAAAAGATACTCAATAATATGTAAGTTCTATTACAATGCTGAACCACCGTAATTCTTTTGTTCGAGGTTTTTCGAGTTCACTTATTTGAGTTTTTCTGCTGGCATAAGCACTTGTGAGACTGCTTGGAAGAGCTTATGGACATGTTCATAAGTTGCTTTCAACTTATTTCCATAAGTTCTCATAGTATATGAAAACATTTTGACTAAATTTTAGTTTTTCTTATTGAAATAGCTTTTATACATAAGTAATTAATTTTATGGTAAGTGCTTGTGTGTTTCCTTATTCTTATGCTGAAGTTCAACTTTCCGTTGTTTTTTTGTTGTTGGTATAACAGTGGTCAAGCAGAGAAAGAATTTAGAGTGGAAGTTGAAGCTATTGGCCATGTCAGACACAAAAACTTGGTTCGTCTTTTGGGGTTCTGCGTTGAGGGAACTCACAGGTATCCTTATTCTCAATAACACTGACTGTATTGAGTATCATCTCGACATATATATGATTTGTAATATAAATTGCTTTGCTACTTCATTAATGTGCTTTCCTTTGCTGTAACACATGTATTTTTAGGATATTAGTGTACGAGTATGTCAATAATGGAAACTTGGAACAATGGCTTCATGGAGCTATGCGTCACCATGGCTATCTTACGTGGGAAGCACGTGTCAAGGTTCTCCTTGGCACAGCCAAAGCGTGAGTCTCTCTGCAACTGCGCCTTTTGTTTTCTTAGTAATCCTTATATAAAGCAATGCACTTGTTTCAGGCTTGCGTATTTGCACGAAGCAATTGAGCCAAAAGTAGTACACCGAGATATCAAATCGAGCAACATATTAATTGACGATGATTTCAATGCTAAGGTTTCTGATTTTGGTCTGGCCAAATTATTGGGTGCTGGAAAGAGTCATGTCACAACCCGAGTTATGGGAACCTTTGGGTCGGTATTTCCCGTGGTAATTAAGTATCGTTATACTATTTTCTAGACAAACCAATTCTTATATGCTTTTCTCTCTAAATATTTCAGATATGTGGCTCCTGAATACGCAAACACCGGCCTTCTAAATGAGAAAAGTGATGTTTATAGCTTTGGTGTTTTGCTATTGGAAGGAATTACCGGAAGAGATCCAGTTGATTATGGTCGTCCGACAAATGAAGTGAGTTAACTATTTTTCTTATCTTCGGCCTAAATCCACCTTGAAATATGTTTTCTTTGTTGACATAGCCACACCTTAATTTTTTTTAAATCTTCCATATCTCGTACCTGATACCATACCTGCACCTATGCATTCCTAGAAACGTACGTCCCTTTCAAATTCAGGAAACACGAATAACATTCTCAGCAATGGTAGTAACTATCATGTCTGCGTGTTTTTCGCTGTCCCTACTATCCTCCGAAAAATTATTTGTTACTTCTTGCTTTACACCATTCAATGTGCACCAGCTAAGCCTTGTGGGTCATTGCTGCCTTCCTTTATAGCAACACTATGAACCTTCTAGGTAAGATGACATATACATTGAATGATGAGTACATAGCAATAATAATTTTTTGTTTCTTTTACCTTTCAACCACTAGTATTATCACTATGATTACCAAGCACTCTTTTGTGGAGCAAAGTTCATTACTTTGCACTTTTGAACCTTATCCTATGCTCTTACATCATAGACGGTTGTCATCCTCGAGATTTCGGTTTTGATTTGAAGACTTATTTTTCTACATGGAAACTTGTTATCGATGTTTTTATAACATAACTGTGAAACTGCAATGGTTTCAGGTGAATCTAGTTGATTGGCTGAAGATGATGGTCGGAAGCAGGAGATCAGAAGAAGTGGTGGACCCAAACATTGAGGTGAAACCATCGACAAGAGCTTTGAAACGCGCTCTCTTAACTGCTTTAAGATGCGTTGATCCAGATTCCGAGAAAAGACCCAAGATGAGTCAAGTTGTACGAATGCTGGAGTCCGAGGAATACCCTTTAGCAAGAGAGGTTTGTATTGTTTTCACCTCTTATTCATAAATCATTACTAATATTATCGTGCAAACCGCCAAGCCAAGCTAGTGTGGCTTGTCGCAAGTTGTAGATGCAATACTCATTCGCCGTGTGGATATCAGGACCGAAGGCACAGAAGAAGAAATCAAGGAGGTAGTGCAGAAATTGAATCGCAGAGGGAATTTTCCGACACAGACAGGAGTGAGATTCAGCTCTCTAGAGAAGAGAGCAGAGGGTAGCAAGAACGCATGTAACGCGACCTGAAGTCGGAATCTTAATGAAGAACCAATGGTTTATTGGGATGTATAAAGTGGTAGTTTTTGTTTTTATTTTTATTTTTTATCTAGTAGCATTTTAGATTCTTGAAATTATGGGCATTGGAAAGGGGTGAGACAGTAATATATGTTTTGTTTTTCCCTTTTATATGCATGGTTTTTTGTTTTAGTTTCTGTATGAAGGGGGGTTGGTATTGTAAGATAAGAACCCAAAATAGTGGGTGTGTACATAATCGGATTTCTTCTTAAATTCCTACATTTGTTTCTTAAATTACGATTTGTTATTATTATTATCATCATCTAACATTGAGTAAGAAAAATATATTTTATTGGTTACAGAAGAGATGGAGTAAGGGCCCAAAATGTCAGCATGTAAAATAGAAATAGAAAAAACATGAGACATAGTGCTATTACTATAAGTATAGGAAAAAAATTGTGATTATCTAAGTGACATCAATGAAAAGGTAAATCTTTGTTAATGTTATGTATAATATTAGGAAAAAGAGAAAATAAAGTTTTGTGAACAAAATAAAAGGATGACCTAATTGTATAGGTTAAAGAATAGAAGAAGCATATTGGATATAATTACAAGTAAAAAAAAACATAGAGGTATCCATGTCGGTAAGATAAACCAATCAGTTTTGTAGAATTTTTCTACAAAATGAGACATTATTTATTAGTGAAATTGAGATGACATAAGGATGAATCTGTAAAAAATTATTGCCGAAATTTTGTTAACATTAAAGGTAGGGATATGTCATACCCTAATTTTTATCCTGAGTTTTTTATTTGTATCAACATAGCATAATCGTTTCATTTTTATCATGCATTCTTTCAGTTAAAAGTAATCACCAGGGTTTAGATAAAAAGCCAGGAGTTTTGGCATTTTATGACATTCATTCAGACATATGTTGATTAAGAAGTCAAAACGCTTGATTTCTCAATCTCAGTTCATCGTTCATTTCGTTGCATCATGTTTCAGAGGTTCGGAGGGTGACTGTTGCGGTTAGAATATGATATCAAATTATTAATTAATTTGAATCGCATCTTTAGTTCACAACCGCTCTTTGATTTATCCGAAGGAAAAGGTCAAAAGAGGAAAACCTAATTTTGCATCGTAAAGACAATGCGGGGAGAGATCTAGGTAAGGGGTTGGTTAAGCTCAGGGAAGGTACTAGCACCCTAAACTTCTGTAGTACTCTACAGGAACCTTTTGTTTATTGTATGCTTTTTTATATTTTATTATCTGTTTTAATATATATTGCTAAGGGATAGAGTGACCTAAAGACCTAAGGGTTAGTCCTAAGTTTACTCGGCAAGACGTCGCGTCTTGTGCCTACGTATCCTGGATAGGGAATGGAATCAGAGTAATCGTAGTTCAATGGAATCAGAGTAATCGTAGTTCCCCTCGAAAGGGAGGTTAGAAACGTCTTGACTGTGGTCAAGGTTTCATTGGGGAGTAAGCGTTCATAGGGAAGCGCCTACGTGGAGTCTTGAAACTCCTATTTCTACGTTGAAATTGTTAATTGAAATTAGGGTTAAATTAAATATTCCACGGCGGGAAACCCTAAAACAGAGTACGACGACTCTTTGACCTAATGCTAGGGTAAAGGGTATTTTCGTCCACGGCGGGACACCTAGGCGATTAGGATTTTGAAATGGTCAAACGTTAGGGTTATTGACTCGGCGGTCAAACGGCTAGACCTAATCCTTCAGAAGGAACATAACGCTAAATCATGCAAAACATGACAAAATATTATATGGCAGAAATAAAGTGCGGAAAGTAAAGAAAGCGTCGCGGCGATCACTCGCGTAAATTACAAATCCCCAAAAAATGCAAAATAAAATAAACCGCGACCATGGCCTCGCGTAAATTACATCCACGGAACAAATTACAAATATGATAACGAAATAATTAATTAATAATAATCGGAGACCGACTAAAACCTAGCGGAAAACAAATAGAGAACGTTAGTGAAAAAAAAGTTAGGCGGAAATCAATGACAGATAATAAAGCAATTAATAATGAAAGAAAGAAAATACAATTTGGAAATTTTAATTATAGTTTTATTAGTTTTAAAAAAGGGATTTTAGTTTAAATTTTGAAGAAAATAATTTTAATGTTGATAAAAACGTTTTTTGTTTTTAATTTTTAATTTTTAAAAAGGCTTCAATGTTAATATTAAAAAAAAAAGTTTTTAGTTTAAAATTTTAAAAAATGTTTTAGTTTTAATTTTAACAAAAAATTCTTTAGTTTAATGTTAATTTAAAAAAAAAAGGTTCTTAGTTTAATGTTAATTTTAAAAAAAGATTTTAGTTTAATGTTAATTTAAATAAAGGTTTTAGTTTAAACATTAAAAAAATGTTTTAGTTTTGATTTTAATAAAAGTTTTTTTTTATGAAAATTTTAGCAGCTCAAACTCAATTACTTTAAAAAAGAAAATAAGATAATAATTTTACAAAAAAAAAGAATAAAAATATATAGGACAAAAAAACTAAAGAAAGGAGAAATAATAATAAATAATAAAAAAAAAAGGAAGGATAATGAAAGGGGAAGACCATTTAACCACTGGGGTGGCTATACATCCTTTGTTTCTGCTCATTTAACCACTGGTGGCTATACATCCTTTGTGTCTGCTCCATTTAACCACTGGGGTGACGATACATCCTTTGTTTTTGCTCATTTGACCCATTAGGATTGACTTTAATTTTCTTTCTTTCTGCTCATTTGACCCATTAGAGTTGCCTTTAATTACCTTTTCTCCTCTTACTTTTCCTTATCCTGGAAATGGGTTATGAAAGAAAAAAACAAAGAAAAGAAATAACAGCCAATTAACGATGCTTACGGTGAGATTATTCAGATTCTCTGCTTTTGTTGTGACGGACGGTTGATTTTCGGAGGTGGGTTTCTCGCGGTTCCGAAACTTCTTCTGATTGAGATGATGATGAAACCTCGCCGTTTTTTCTGATAAGTCGTGAGAACGGCCGCCGTTTTTTCTTTTCTTCCTCCGTTCTCTTTTATCAAATGCAACTCATGTTTATATAGGCAACAAATTAGGGTTAACTCTAACCTAATGCCTATTTTAAAGCCCAACTTAAATAATTAGTCAAAACAAAAAAAACAAACTAAAACAAACTTAAAAGAATAAAATCTTTTCTAATATTTTTAATTTTATAATTTTTGCATACTCTCGACCTCTCGCACTCACAACTCCTTGCACACGGTCTCTTGCCAATTGTGCCATTTTATTCATTCAAAATAAAGTGGCACTAGAAACCATGTAAAGGTAGGACAAATTTGGGGTGCAACAGACGCCCCTATTTAAATAGCTTCACCAGATGATTTGAGCAGCGGAGACTCGAGAAATCGCGGTGAAAAGGATTTAAATACAGATAACCGGAAATTTGGCCCCTAGATGCAGTGATATGCAATGATATGGACAAAATAACACGAACTATAATGTTGACAATGCCATGAATCTAATATGATGCGTATGATGGAATGATGAATGCAAGGATGCAGACGACACGACGTCATAGGGGACAGCGCATCGAAGAATTGCACTGGGGAAGAAGACACGCGGTGGTGACAAGGTAACATAGGATCCACACGGAGACAGGATCAGGTAAACGATAGACGCTAGAGTTTTCGGGACATTCCTTGAAGAGATCGAGCGGGATCTTCAGGACTCACCGAAAAACATATAGGGAGAGACAAACATCAGAACATTTCGGAGGAACGTCGAAAAGGAGACACGTCGTATCTGGAAGAACGTCAGATAGACATGACACGAAATAGTCGATGGGTGCCAAATAAACTGGACTTTTTCCACAAGGTAAGACGCGAATAAAACACGACCTCGGGGAGAAAAATGCAAATGGGGATAAAACACCCATGCTGCCAAGTAACTAGATTCGTCCACAAGGTAAGACGCAGATAAAACACGACCTCGGGGAGAAAATGCAAATGGGGATAAAGCACCCATGATGCCAAGTAAATAAATTTGTCCACAAGGTAAGACGCGGGTAAAACACGACCTCGGGGAGAAAAATGCAAATGGGGATAAAGCACCCATGATGCCAAGTAAATAAATTCGTCCACAAGGTAAGACGCGGGTAAAACACAACTTCGGGAGAAGAAGCAAATGGGGATAAAACACCCATGATGCCAGGTAAATTGGACTTTGTCCACGAGGTAATACGCGGGTAAAACACGACCTCGGGAGAAGAAGCAAATGGGGATAAAACACCCATGATGCCAGGTAAATTGGACTTCGTCCACAAGGTAATACGCGGGTAAAACACGACCTCGGGAGAAGAAGCAAATGGGGATAAAACACCCATGATGCCAGGTAAATTGGACTTCGTCCACGAGGTAATACGCGGGTAAAACACGACCTCGGGAGAAAAAGCAAATGGGGATAAAACACCCATGATATGCACATGTGTATAAATCATGCTATGATAGATGATCAAATGACAATGCAGCTGTCGACGACAAGGCTCGACTCTGTTGGTAAGATGACAAGACTGGAAAACGGATTCCTCAACCCGGATATCACTGCCACTTGCTAAATTGTAATCAGGTTGATGGTCCTCGTAGGAAGGATGGAAATCCGCTTGGAGATCTTTCAAGTAAACTGCCCCAGATTAAATTGTCCATTACAGATGAACTGATAATTGCTTCAGCTTGCCTGATTCTGAAAATGACTGTTTTACTGTACCCTCGGAAGGTTTGCCCCAGTCCGAGTCTTGAAAATCTCATGGATAAACCAGATCTGAGAAGACTTTTCCCCTGATAGGATCACTTGACCAAGTTTCTCGATTGTTTGAAATTTCCTTAGAGGAAAGCCAGTTTGCAAACAAAAATATTCATACAAACATGGTAATGCAAATTTCATGCAACTTTTGAAATCAAAATTATATTTGAAAGATGAAAAATAAATGAGTCATCGATTAGAACG